ACTATGGATTTTTAAAGCTAAAACTATAATTACAAGTTTTAACTAAAATTTCAGTGAGGACTAGAAGATAAAATTGAAACAAATTTCACAGAAAACAAAGAAAAAGTCAAAGCTTAAACACATGAAATATTTTTATTTCAAAAATTCCAACATGCAAATGACACAAGTTACAGAAAGAGAATGGGCACAAACAAGTGAGTAAAGCCTCATAAATCAGTGGGAAAAAGCCCTCTAGGGTTGGTACATAAATTGTCAGCTTGTAAAAGAGCATTGTATGTTCAACAGAAGTAATAAAAACAAACAATAATCGATACCACTGAGAAGATGTAGAACATAAAAGAAAGAACAATATTATAAAACCTAGTGAGGGGATTGAAATGATAGATAAGTTTCAGAAAAGTATCACTGAAAGCAGAGGTAATACAGTTCTGTCTCTGTTATGATGTTCCTGCCTGGTTCCGCAGCTGCCTCAGAGCCCCCAAATAACACAGGAGACAATATATTAATTATAATGCTGTTGGCCAATGTCTAGGGTTTCTTATTGGCTAGCTCTGACTTAATTTCTAACCCATTTCTATTAAGGTAAGTATTTCCATGTGACATTATCTTACCAGAGAAAAGGTCGGGGCCTCTTACTCCATTGTGGTTTACATCACATCTCTCTCTGCCTACATTTCCCAGAATCCTCCTCAACTCCTAGACCCACCTTTCATGATGCCCTATTGGCCACACTGTTTTTCATCAACCAATAAGATAAAAATATGGAGAAGACCATACCTCATCATGTCTTTAAAGTTTTCATGCAAAAATATAATCAATATAGAATTCTGTACCAGAAAGGACTATTAACAACATGTAAAAATAGGAAAATATTTAACCATTTAAGAACTAAAAAATTATCTTGCCTGAAATTATAGAAAGATCTCTTATTAAAGAAAATAGACCATGATGGAGAACCATACACTCCAGAAGACAGCTAGTTGACTTGAGAGAAGATGAGAAGAAAATCCTTACAAGAGTGGGTATCTTGGATCAGGTTCTTTAGGATCAGAACCTAAAGCAAGATTCCAAGAGTTTCTTAATTATTGAATGAATTTTCAACAGAGAGTGAGAAACATGTAGATAAGGGAAAGGTAATGAAAAATATATTGGGTTTTCAGCATTATCACAGTGTTATATTCTAGGGCATAAACTTTCCTAAGAAATGATCCCATGTAGAGACAAGGAGATTAGCATTCTATATTGTGTGGCAATCCAAATTGACAGAGGAGAAGTTTTCATGGGAAAGTTGTATCTTTCTGGTTGACCCATTTGACTGAGGGTGATGTGAAGAAGAAGAAGGAGGAGAAATAGGAGGAGGAGAAGGAGGAGGGGGAGGAGAAGAAGAAGAAGAAGAAGAAGAAGAAGAAGAAGAAGAAGAAGAAGAAGAAGAAAAGAAAGAATGAAAGAGAGAGAGAGAGAGAGAGAGAGAGAGAGAGAAAGTAATTGGTAAGCATTAACTTTCATAGTAGCCAGAATAAGTGTACTAGTCTTATGAGGATATCTGGGATGGGTACCAACAGTGACCATTATATTGATGAGAAGTCTTAAAGAAGATAAAAATCATATAACACTCAAGGTGATTGAAAAGATTGACAGGAGGCCTACACAAATTGGAGGTCACAGATGAATTAGTGATAGGTACATAGAGAACTTTGCAAACATCAAGAAGATGTACAGAATTTTAAAATGTACAGAATAAAAAATTAATGAAATTTCATTGATGAAAACATTTCAGATTGTCATAATAAATGAACAACTGAATGCTGATTTAATAAAAAATACAAAAAAATCTAGCATTATATTGAGGGATGACAGATAAAAGGCAACAGATAAAAGGTTAATAAGATTGGCCATTAGGGAACCCAGCAATGAACAAACTGGGAACAGCTCTACCCCACCCCAGAATTTACCAAAGACCCACTTGTTCATGTATTCAGGAATCTCATAAAATCACTAATCTAGAATCTATAATACATGCACAGATGATCTGGTACAGACCAAAAATAGAAAACTTGTAAAGACAGAATGCTGTACACAGCATTTACCAAACTTGTCTATAGCATTTTTGTGAGTACACACTTGTGTATGTGCTGAATGAATATTTATGAGCATGCATGTATATTGTGCATGCATATATTTATGTACATGTGTGTATTGCGTGTGCTCAAAGATGATACATAGTCCATAAGCCTAAGATTTCTTTATTCAGATAAACACCAGCCCAAACGCAAGCCAGAGCGTGCCCAGAGGCGGCAAGCTAACATGGCCAGATAGAAGGGGCATCCACGTGTGTGTGGCCTCTTAAGAATTCTCTCCATGTCATCTACGACCTCCCCTGACCACGCCTTCACGGGCGTGGCCAGGCACACCTGTAGGGGCTACTAGGAGGTGGTGCTACAGTGTGTGTTATGAGTGTATATTTGTATATTGCATATGTATGATTGATTGTTGTTTCTCTGCCTTGATTGCTATCTGCTTTATATGTTAATACAGAGTCTCTGGCTTAACTAACAAACTAGATTGTATGAGCATTCCCTATCTCTACTTCCCACATGCTAGGGTTACATATGGGCTGCCAAGTCCAGTTGCTCATACATGGGTGCTTGTCCTGTCCCACAGGACAATAATCTGGGGCAAGAGAGTCAGGCATAGGGAATGGGGACAAGAGACACAGAAAGAACAACCACAAGACAAGATTCTGATCAAGTGGCAAACTTTGTTTTTCTCAGGCTAGTTTATATAGTCAGTAGAGCAGGATACAGGGAGGGGTAGAAAGAGTTGTTTGTGTACCAGGTATTAGGAAACCACAAAGAGGATGTTTGGCAGGGTAAAGAGTTCATGAGTAAGAGGTCCAGGAAGGGTTGCCTAGGTGACTGAGTCTATGGGTGGACGACTGGGTAAAGTTGTTTCTTTTCTTGAGCTGAGGTTCTAAGGAGCTGCTATGTAAAGGTTAATATGCAACTATGTGGCCAGCCAAGAAAGGCCTAGGATCTCATGCCAAGCTCCCAACAAGTGCTGAGGATCCAAACCCTGGTGTTCATTCTTGGATGCTAAGTCCTTTACCCCTGAGACACCTCCACAGAATTCTCAACATCTTCCTAAATTTTAGCATTTCTAAAGAGTGGGTTTTCTGCATCTACAGTGCATAACAGTGAGAATATGAAATGTAGCAAGGTCTACAAAGCAGACATTTTTCTGCTTCTTAGTGAATGATTGTTCTGATATTGGGTTTGTTTGGGGTTTTTTTGGTTTTTGTTTTGAATTGTTTATGATTTACTTGGATTCTCTTCTATGCCACACAACACATTCATTTAAGAATTCAGTGGATGTCTACCAACTACTTCTGAGAGAAAGCATAAGAGATTCATATGGCCCATCTCTGATCTCATTGGGAATGATTTCACAGTACTCAAGTAAAAAAGAAGTGGGTAAACGTCTCCAATCCCATGTCACGAATCACTTTGCATCTCTTTTCTGAAGCCTGTTTCTTCTATTTGTTAACAAGCGCTTAACCCTGGATTGTCAGCTGCTGTGTGGTTTGCTACCACTATGCTCAGCTACACTAGATTAGAGCCAAGCCCCATTCTCTTAATTCAAGAGTGTACCTTCATGGAGGGAAAGCTTAGGGGATAAAAGCACTAGCTGCTCTTCCAGAAAATCCAGGTTCATTTGCCAGTACTCATATGGTACACAGGACATACATGTAGGCAATATACCTATATACACAATACACATAGAATAAAAATTAAAGTAAAAACTTTAAAAGAATATCAATTCATATTGCTGTCCAAGGATGCAGATGGGAGGGGCACCTCTGCATCTTAATCTAGCTTCTCCTGTTTAGGCCTCTGAAGCATAATCCACACTAGCAAAACTACTTTCCAACAAAGAGAAACAAACATCATAAATTAAATGCTCAAGGATTGGTCAAATTCACTCTTGACCAAATTCACCCTTTACTTCTTGAATACTGAAAAATCTCCCGAGTAGGATCAGGGACGAGCCATAGAGCTCTGGTACAGAACTCACACAGGTAGGAAGATAGCTGAACTTCAGCTTTTCAAACAGACCTGGGAGTCAACTATCTGAAAAATGCTGTGTCCAGGTGTTGTTTTCCTCAAATTTTGGATATAGCACAATAAAAGCTCAAGACATAAATTCTTATTGTACACTGAAGCCATAAATATAAGAACCTCAAAACATTTTCTTTTATAAAGTTTAATCACATATTTTTATGTACAAATTATATTTGTATATTTTATAACATGTTTAAATTCTAGTGGTTACTAATTTTGAAAATATAGCCATAGTTCTTTATGCCCCCAAAACCATACTGGTGCATTTTCTTATCAGATTTAAAAAAAAACTTTTCTCATACGTTTTCCTTAATTTCTAAAAAGCAAATAGAAAAGTGACCTGCTGGGACATATTTGGGCTGCTTTTCCAGTGTTTCAGAGCACAGTGGTGCTCCTCACACAGAACATCACTCTTAGGAGGTGCTGACACTTTGAGCACAACTTTAGGAATCTTCCTTTAGGAACTGAGTAGTCTCAGAGGGAAGATCAAAGCAGATATGAGGTCTGATGCTCAACCACAGAAGACATATACTGTTCTCAAATGGTGTACCTCAGCTGTTTGCTTTGCTGCACAAACATTAAAGGCAGACGTGCTCAGGGTACCAGCTGCCTACATGATGGGGGATGGGAGTAGAGCTATATAGATTTCTCAGCTAGGGGGCACTAGGCACCCTTCCTATTCTTCAAGAAAAGGACATTTATCAAGGAAACATGCTGAGAATCATGCCTTACAGTATAGTTCTTTGGATTTTCTCCTTTGTTTTAGGCTCCTAACATGCTTTTCACTGTATTGATTTTTCAGTTTTATCATTCTTATTAGTCAATATACAGATTAAGAATATTTATTACTTGAGTTAATTTTGTTTAGTTGGCTATAAATAGCTAAGCAATTTTTTAAATTAAATAAGAGTGATGTTTTGAGAATTCTTTTTTCTGCATTACACATTTGAAATCATTATAAGTCATTTTTGAGGAATTGTGCAGTAGACCTGCAAACGAATGCCTCTGTGTAATAAAATTTAGTACTATGGTCATCAAAGTACATCCTAAATTACATAAAGCCTACAGACATATAATCCAACTAATGCTGCTAGATTACAATGCAGCCACAATTTGAATATTCACATTAGCACCATGCTTAAATATAAGAGTGACTTCCATCAATAGAATATAAAACAATTGATAGATACCTTTGCATTACAGGCCAAGTTCCTAAATAGGTGTCTACATTCCATATATCTATTTGGCTCCACAGATTGGGGAGCCCAGATGGCTGTGTCTCCAGTGAAGCCAGAGACAATATAGCAATCAGTTAAACAATGCCACTATTGCAACTACAGAGATCCCCAGCAGACTTCTGCTTTTCTGCCATCCTGGTAAGTAGGCTCTTTCCACAGGTGTGCTGGAAAAGAACCATGGTTGAACTGAGAACATTTCTAAGGAGAGTTTCCAGATAAAGTATAAGTTATCACAATATCTTAGGGAACAATTATATACTAAAAATTTATTATTGCTTATCTGAAATCTAAATGTAACTATGTGTCCTGCATTTTCCTTTGCTAATTCTGACACTTTTATTTCTGTGAAAGAAAATATTTTTTTGTGGATACAAACCCCTCTACTTTATTTTTTGCTAATTTTGGGAAAACATGAAGGAATACAAAAAAATGTGCTCCTGTGTTTTAGATGTTTGCATTGTTTGAATTGAAATCTATTTGAAATCCCTTTTATGTAGAAATATTTTCTCTCAACATGCTGCAGTACTTAAAAGATCACTACCTAGTTTGGGGAGGTGCTTTGCCAGCATGAGTGACCAAAGCCTGATCCTCAGGACCCACTTAATAAGTTGTCTACAGGTGGTCCACACCTGTAATCCCAGCCCAGACCACGTGTAGCCAGGTGGATTCTTCAGGCTTGCTGGTCAGCCAGCCTGCCTACTTGGCAGTTTCCTGGTTGGTGAGAGAGACTCTGTCTTGAAATAACAATGTGGACAACTTCTGAGTATCTGAGGAATACCTAAGGTTGTCCTTAGCCTTCACATGCATGCGCACACATATGAGAGACAGACAGACAGACAGACAGACAGACAGACAGACAGACAGACAGACAGACAGACAGACAGACAGACAGACAGACAGACAGACAGACAGACAGACAGACAGACAGACAGACAGACAGACAGACAGACAGACAGACAGACAGACAGACAGACAGACAGACAGACAGACAGACAGACAGACAGACAGACAGACAGACAGACAGACAGACAGACAGACAGACAGACAGAGGTACGACACAAGATGTGGTAGCAAAAAATAATAAAATATCGATAGGAAGTAAAAATTGTACCCAAGGGGGCTGGAAACTTGGCTCAGCAGTTAAGAGTACGTACTGCTCTTTTAGATGAGCTGAGTGCAGTTCCCTGCATTAATGTCATGTTGCACACACCCACTTATAATTCCAGCCCTATAGAGATCTGACACTTAATAGCCTCAGAGTACCTGTACTCATGTGCACATAATCCTCCCCAACATATAACTAAAAACAATAATAATAAATTTAAAAAATCATAGCCAAGAGAAATGTATGCCCAGTATGTCCCTGACTCATGTTATACTTCTTACTTTCAAATGTGTCCCATGATAAGTTATCCATTTTTATTCAACTTCTCTTGTTCTTGCCTAGTAGGATCCATTCACTCCTGGCAGGACTGTGGCCCAAGGTAAATTGCCAAACTAGTTCAAGTAGAATTGTAGGTTTCAAGAATTTTTCTAATTTGTCATTGATTCTTCTGGGTGACCTTGAGCAAACCATTTAATTTCTCTAGACCACAGGTTCAGAATTGTAAAATTCCAGAATGCCATTAGCTGATCAGTCTTAATAAAAAAGGCGAGAAGAAATTTTGAAATCTTGTCATTTATTATATGAAACATATATTTTCCCCATCATGGCTCTGATCCTTAATAGTTATATGTTCTTGGGCATATGTTCTGTAAGCAAGAAAATAAAACAGGCTAATGGAATATGATGTGATAATCAAGAGAGTCAAAACATAAAATGTATATCATAGAAGAACTTAGTAAGGTGTTTGGCACACAATAAATGCTGGATGCATTTTAGTTATTATCATAGCAACTGTTATTCCTTATACAAATCACATACTCTTATAATGAAAACTATATCTCTGTCCACATTCCTGATGTATTACAACTCTGGAGTTAATTATGGCTAGTGTTTAATGAAGCCAGTTATGAGTTACATTTATTTCCAATTAGGAGTATTCTTTAGAAACTTAGGAAAATAAAACAAAGATATTATCAACACCAAATGCACAGAATTCAAAATGAATGAAGAGTTTCTTTACATATAATGAATTTAAGAAACCAGAAAAAATGTTTTGACTTAATTCTCCTTCCAAATGATCCTGTGTTTTGATCCTAGCCATAAAATAGTTCTGTAAAATATTAAGCAAATAACCTGTCTTCACAGAATTTGTTCTTAAACTAAGTATTTTAATTGTTGCATCAAAATTTTTATCTTCTTAAACTGACTTTTGATTCAAACAAAACATGCAATTTCTACCAAAGTGAATTATAGCAATCTATAATCTAGAATATTTCAACCAATCTTCTGTCTCTTTTTTAATCCATAAATTCCTCCTTCCCTCCCTCCCTCCTTCCTGCATATCTGCCTTCTGTTTTCTTCTAATGTTATTCTGCTACATTATTCCTAGTATAGTTCCTGAATTTAAATAATTTCTATTATCCAAAGTTTGTCCACAAGTATAAGAACTACTCTTTTTTTTAATTTAAATTACTAATAAGCTTGTTCTATATATCAATCCCAATTCCCTCTTCCTCCCCTCCTCTCTCCCCTACCACTCCCTCAACTAAAACTCTACCTATCACGTACCCTTTCTGTGCCCCAGGGAGGTGAGGACTTCCATGGGGGATCTTCCAATGATCTGTCACATCATTTGGAGCAGGGCCTAGGCCCTTCCCCCATGTGTCTAGTCTGAGAGTATCCCTCTATGTGGAGTGGGCTCCTAAAGTCCATTAGTATACTAGGGATAAATACTAATCTGCTACCAGAGGCCCCATGGGTTGCCCAGGCCTCCTAACTGACACCCACATTCAGGGGGTCTGGGATGGTCCTATACTGGTTTTCCAACTGTAAGAGATGTTCTTATAGGAACTTATGAGACAAATGCAGTAACTCAGCTGCATGTTCTCATTTTTGTTGTATTCACATGTTTTGCTATCTTTTTTTCTTTTCTTTTCGACTGTAGAAAATATTAGTTCTGGAAATTATTAAGATAATTAAAGTGCACTAGGAAGACAACCCACCACAATTCAACAGTATTCACAGAGTGACTGCTAACACACACAAGATGTAGGCCAGGTCTCTGGATCAGGACTTTAGAATACTAACCAGCAATGAATGGATAAAATAAATCAAATGGGATAATAATGAAAATGCTTCACGCTTACCATTGAGCAAGCCAGCTTTTAAAATTATTTTTAAAAAAATGGCCTGACTGCCCTCAACTACCATTTTTTAGTTACAACAACTTTCTAAAAATGTAAACATAAAAGGGGACAATGCTGGATGAAAGAAAGTAGGCTGCCTCCTCTGTTTGAGTCTCCGAGACCGGTTATTAGGAAGTCAAGCTGCTGTGTGTCATCTGCTTCATGCTGGAGGGCTGAGATCAACGAGAATCAGTGTACACCTGCGCTTATTTGTAAAGACTTAACAGTAAGTTTTTAATGATTAATTTATCTGTCACATAACACTTAATAGATCATGGAATCATCAAGGGAGGAATGTGGTTCTGCATCTCTAAAGCAGAATGATATTAGGCATAGAAAGCATCATTAGTCTTGTTAGGGGCTGGTTCCTAGAGCAATCTCTTTGCATTACCTTTTATAGGGAAGGTCAAGGAAGCCACCCCCTGGGACTCCCCTGCAGGACACAACTAACACAAGTATAAACTGTATGGAAATGCCTAAATTATCTTTACTGAGACCTTGGTCTTTCACATCAATCAAGTACTTCTGAACTAGTAAAACAGATAAGCACCCTGCTGACAGAAGTGTTACTCTCCTTATGCTTGTCATGACTGGCACTACAAATTTAACAATAAGCAGGCTATTATTTTTCTTTCCTCTTTAAAAAACAAAATGTACCAGAAGTCCTACTGCTGCAAGGACAGTTCCTTTTTTAATTGGGAGCCCACCTAAGAATAAGTGCTAAGTGGATTTTAGGTCACTGTTTCTTTCAGTCACTCCCCAAAAACCCTTTGTCCAGGAGAACATGGGTAAGGTGATCTGACAAGTCAAAACAAGGCAAACAGGCACCCAGGCTGCCCTATGAAAGGGGTTGAGCAAATTTATCCACTCTTGTGTCCCAGTCTGCTGAGAGGGAAGCCCAAGTTGCCTAATTCAGGAGGGAATTATACATCACCAATAGCAATGACTGCAAAACACTTTGTAAATAAAAAGGGCTTAGAAGTTCCAATTAACAGCCGAAAGTAACTCTTTGGGGTATGCCAAGAGAAATAAATAAGCACTGCTTAATTTGGGTTCATTTGGTATTTCAGTACCATTAAAAATGAACCTCTTTCCCATCTCTAACTCAAAGATGCAACTGTGATTTCTTTTCTGATGTACACTACAGTGTGTGGTGCTTCTGAGTAGAAGAGTTGAGGGAAAATAACACTGAGTGGAACATTCCTTGCTATTTTACATGAGTACTCACAACAAGCATGGGCCCCAGCCCCCTCCATGCAAAACAATAAGTAGGAGTAGAAAAAAACAATTGCATGCTACTACATCTATGAAATGAAGATAGATCATAATGAGAGATCCAAGTGGCTCCTCTCAGTGTATTTAAGACTTTCACAAATACCAATAAACTGTAAATATAAAGTAGATGCTGCCTTTCAGCCTGTAGTATGCTCCAAGCACTGGACTTGCCACTTTCAACAGTTTTCATTTATACCTCACTTTCCCCTGTGAACAGAGGCTTGGGAAATTATTGGATATTGCCAAAAAAAGATTAATAGTTTGCCAGGTAGTGGTGGCACATGCCTTTAATCCCAGCACTCAGGAGGCAGGGGCAGGCAGATCTCTGTGAGTTTGAGACCAGCCTGGTCTACAAGAGCTAGTTCCACAACAGTCTCCAAAGTCACAGAGAAACCTTGTCTTGTAAAATCAAAAAGGAAGAAAGAGAGAGAGAGAAAGAGAGAAGGAGAGAAAGAGAAAGAGAGGAAGGAAGCAAGATTAATAGCAATTCAAACTATTTGCTGAGCATTATTCTAAATGTAATTCTCAGACTAATCCCATAAACAAGGTACAATTATTTATACTGTAAGGTT